GTATTTTTGAAAACGCAGATTTTTCTATGCGTTTGCACCTTTCGTCCACACGTAAACGGCGTTTTCGGTCACTGAAAACGGAGATTTCTAAAAACATTTTATTTTATTTTATTTACGTGTGGATGAGAAAAACGGAGAAAACGCAGAAAACGCAGCATCAAAGGTGTGCGCCTTTTTTGACGTCACACTGTGCGCCACGTTATTGTTTTGGTGTAGTTAATTTCTACAATACTGTTACTGTTAATTGTACTCTCTGCAGTGTTTAAATGCTTACATATACACACACAGTTACTGTCCCTCCACACATACGACTCGGTTCTGCTTCTATGCCCCAACTTTGTTTACTATTTCCCACCGAGTCTTCTAGACTTCTGATTGGCCAACATTTCTACACGGTTAGTAATATATCGCCACCTGTTGCTTTGGCATGTTGCTAGCAGCGTTTTCCTTCATTTCTGCCTTTACGTGTGGACGGGATTATTTTTTAAAATGAAAACGGAAAATCTCCGTTTTCAAAAATACCCGTGTACGTGTGGACGTAGCCTCAGATTAGCACAGGTGGTTTTAAGTCCAAGACTCCGTAGTCCAGGTTTTAGTAATCAGCAATTAACCTGTGTTTTGGAAAGCTACCTTTTAGGTCTAAATGAACTAATGTGTATCCAGGCCTACTGTTAACATCTGAACAAAAACTCATGCTTGTCCTTTCAATTCTGTGTTGACCAGAAACTATTTCAAAGTAAATCATCCTGCAATTATGAATGTTTCTATCAAATTTCACTGAAATCAAAAAATTTATTATCTGGACATCTCAAACCAACCTCATGAGGGTGGTCTTAGTTAGAACTGATATAAAACAGTGCTGAGATGCTTCTTTATGTACCATAGTGGTAGATCCACTGACCAACATATTAGTCTGGCATTACAATAATGACACTAATGTGGCTTAAAATGCAACCACTTTGCTGTATCGCATGATAAATAGCTCCTTAAGTAGGTAATTGTAATGACCTGTACATTTTGCAGTGCACAGCATTTTGATGTTAATTAAATTAGGTCGGAAAATGCTGTTAAGAAACCTGTAAGGTCTGCAAGTGCTGCATCGCCGACTAATCAATTGCCATTATCATGTCCGGGACAAAGGTCTCGACCCGAGGGACGTGTTGGATTCTGCCGTTTCTTCTCTCTTCTTCGCACAGAACAAGGTGCTCTGCAAAAGCAGCACAATTTTATGGCCACTGAGGGATGATTTTACAGTTTAAGAGTAACGGCTACCCATAAAAATAGTGGCTCATCATTTCATAAATGACAATATATTGTGAAACTAGCCAGCACAATGGCTGTATTGTTGGTGTGCTGTCTAAACATGAATCTATTATAGCAACACTACTGCTGCACCTTCAGGAGGAAATGTCTGGGTAAATGTCTCTATCTGTTGCATCAAAAAAAAAAAAGTGTTCAGAATCTGCAGTTTTGTTGTTGTACAACAAAACACTTTAGGACACAGAGTACTCAGTGAGCCTCAGTGGAAACATACAGTGTCCTCAACAGATGTCATTATGTGGATTAGGACTGTCTCTCCCGCTCTGCTCCCCTCCTCCCACTCGCCTCTGACCCTCTCATTTATCCAACACGAGGGCGTGCGGGGGGTGGGGGGGTGGAGAGACGGGATAGACTGGCAACAGGTTTCGCCACACTGGCCAACATAGTGTACTTAAGCTAGCAAGCACCTCTTTGTAATAATCTGCAGAGATAGAGAGTCTCTTATATGGATATCTTCATCAGCCTTTAACTGTCAGTTTTTCTTTCTTTTTTTTGGTGGATTTGTTTGTGGAAGACTTATAAAGATGATTAAAACCATGTTTCAACATGCGAAGAAACATCCAGGGGTAGGTTCCGTCGTTCATTTATCTTTCATATAGTCAGAGATTTATAAACAAGGCCTAAACAGCTGACTGTAATTTTAGACTGGTGTTTGCTAACAGTTGCACTTCTAAACTGCAAGTCACTGAAAAAGAGACACAAAACTGAAAACATGACAGTGAAGAATGATAGAAGAAGATACATTTGAAGCCAACCGTATAAATGGCATGAATAATGTGCAACACTGCCTCGACGCCGCTGAGAGCAATATGTTACTGTGCAGCTTAAAGCGTGGCACTAGAATACCAATTTGCAACTACAACTTATGTCTTAAAAATGCCGTAAAATACTGTCTACAAGACATACTAATGTTATTAATTAGTAACCGAGTCCCTTTCAATTTCACGATGACAGCTCAGAGATTACAGAAAGCTTCAGAAAACTAATAAGTGGACCTTAAAGTCTGGATTCTTTTGTTACAACAATTATAACTCCTTTCCTGATCAACTTGTTTGAAACAAGTACTGTGGCAGTGTATAATTACGCTGGCATCTTAATTTGCTTTACCAACATAATAAAATGAAAGCAGAAGAAGGACACAGAAGCTGTCTTTTTTTCTGCTTCAAAGCTGTGCTGGGCTGACCCAAATTTGAGGATTGACGTTGCTGGCTTGGCAGTGCACCAGAAAAGTAATAAGGGCAGCGTCAGTATCGAACCCCAGCGAGCATAAAACATTTCCTATATCGGTCAGGCTGATGGTGAAAGGTGAAACCCTCTGCTGCGTGGCTCGACATGAAGAGATCAGCACCCGGGGATTGGACAGCTCCCGGCACACGACAGTCTTCATTATTTTCTTGGTGTTTGTTTGAGTGTCAGCGATCAAAGCTGACCTGCTTTGTTTGTGTTTATATGTGCTGCCGCTTCAGTGATGATCTAAGCGAGGCATCTGCAATAAGATACAGTGTGTGTGCAGCGCACAACGTGAACCTATTTTCAAGGTTATGCCAAGTTCATCGAGATCTTACTTGGAGAAAAAGCAAACAAAAAACATGCAGCGTGGGCACACTGTGCAGTACACGAGTAAGACAACATGTGCTAGATACACAAGGAAAAAGTCTGTTTTAGTTGATGAGTTGATGAAAACTGACTACAATCCTACTGACGCTCAGTTGTGATTAAAAAAAACAAAACTGGAAATACTTACTGGTTTCAGCTTGTTAGCTTACAAATGCAAATCAGCATCTTTAGGTTTCAGGCTATTGATGATCAAACAAGAAATATGGAGATAATTAAGATGAAACACATTTGTCAACATGTTGACAAGGATAATAAAGAAAGGTGAGAAATCATTTAATCTTAATTGATAACGCATGTAGACGACTAGTTTCATGTTAGTGCATAATTTCCTAATTATTATGATATTTGGTTAATTGGCACCTTGGATTCTGGGTGATATTTAACATTAATTAAGAAAATATTAATAACACAAGCAGGAAAATAATCTGCAGATTACCATTTGTATTAACTGCTGGCTGCAAAACTATTCAAACTTCATTTTGACTCATGGACATGAGGACCAAAAGTCTATAAAACGCTCTGAATGAAAACGAGAGCGTAGCCATGGTGATGTCACTCCTGATTTTTAAGGACACCAATACTTTTAAACTATAAAGGCAGCTTATGTAGGGGAGAGCAGTGTGTCATGATTTATGAGCGGAATCATCATCAATTTTCAAATGCTGAACACACTTTAATGACCACTAAATCACTGTGAATTTTGCTTTCTGCAATAATTAGTTGATACAACAAAACACATCTTTCAGCTTTTCATGTATTTTAAAACTTTTTTTTTGGCTGTCTTCTGTTCTTTAAATGTTCTATAGGCTGTAAACAAAATAGGCGTGACAGTCAACACAAAATATATATTTTTTGTGACATTTTTCATAGTGCATAGGTATAGTTAGGGCTGGGCCATATCATACCGTTCACGGTATGATAATGTCGGGCAACGATAAGAAAATGAAATATCGCGATAGAATATGGGTAAAACGCGCATTAGCAGTGCCTTTGTTTTCATACGCACATGGCGGAAAATGCGTGCC